ATCGGCTTAAGGAGTTAGAGTTGCAGGGATCATGGGACTTAGTAATTAAGGTTATAAGTCCCTTAATTGGGGTTATAAGTATAGTTACCTTAGTTATAACCCTACTTACTAAGTCCCATGATCCTTTAAGTATGGGGACCCCTAATCCTAATACCCTATATAACCCTTATATACCCCATATATGGTCTCATACAGCCCCTATATAACCCCCATGATCCTTTAAGTAGGCCAAAGGGAGACATCCTAGGTCGAGTCACGGGCAAAGGCGAACCTCCGACCCCCGAGCCTTGAAACCTCGAGCCTGAAGATCCCATCAGGGTTTAGGGTTTAGGGTTTAGGGTTTAGGGTTTAGGGTTTAGGGTTTAGGGTCTAGGGTTTAGGGTTTAGGGTTTAGGGTTTCGGGTTTAGGGTTTAGGGCTGAAACCACTCGACAACTTCCGGCAGTAAAGTGCCAGGTACCATTTTAAACAGGCTGCAGAACCTCCTCCCCGAACCAGGTAACCAGTGCCGAACATTCAAAATCAACCCTACTCCCCAAAACTCAATGCATAAGTTCAAACCCTAAACCCTAGAATCCTAACCACAACACCCCTAACCTTAAACCCCAAACCCCTAAAGCCTAAACCCCACATCAAAACCTTTTGGGCCCCCCGGCCCAACGCCCAAACGTCACAGCTCCGCTGGGCGACATAGCCGGGCTCCAGCTGTTCGGGAGCCTCTGTAGATATATTTTAAGGCCAGACTACCGGAGCACCTTACTGTAAGGGATGCACATGGTCACGATTATGCATATAAGGGTACCACAAGGATACAAGAAGGCTCCGGCTTTTGGGAAAAGGAAGGCTTCGAGGCTTTCGGTTGGCGGCTTCCGGTTTGGGGCTTTTGGGACTTTGCGTGCTTCAGGGTTTGCTGGGTTTAGGGGTCAGGGGAGAGGTGTGCGAGCTTAGGGCTTAAGGTGCCGAGAGTGATGAAGTGATGGACATAAACTTTTGGCACCATGAAAGTCAATTGCGACATCGTACTACCTCAATAAACCCCAGACCCATGCCCTCAATCAACCTCAGGCACTCCTAAAACCAAGAAACCAAGAGCCGGCTAAGGGCTTACGGCTTAGGGCTGGGGCTGAGACTTAAGACTCTTGGGTGTCTTGCGGGTTTTAGCCGGCTTTTCGCGTTCACTGTTGGGGTTCACGGCTAAGTGTATCAATCACGCCACGAGCCATGCATCCGTGTGCATTAAAAGCAATGCTTCATACCCTGCCCTGTCATGCCCTCAGTAAGAGCCGTCCACCGCAAGAGGCCTGACAGAAGAGAGGGCAGGGCCGCTGCTCCTCCTGCGAATTGGGTGCTGTTTTCAGGTCGAAGTCCATGTCAGGTGAAGCATGGACCGGCCCCCATGTGAAGCATCTGGGCTGTTGGTTAATCACAAATCATCACAAGTGCATGGGTGTTTGCTCGAGCTGGAATACAAAACTTTGGGGAATCCGACACCTTCAACCATGCAGATTGCAATGCCCTTTCACATGCCGACATCTCACAGAAACCGTGCAATTCGGACGGCGCCGACTCCCAAACCACGACTTGTCGGAGATTTCGTGGCTACAACTATACAAATCAAGGTTTGCCGTAGGGCTTGTTTTGATCAGGACACTACCGAGGAACAAGGTGGAAACCAGTAGAATGAGTCCTTGCTGGGGTCCCTTTGGAACAGTCAGCCCTCAAACCTTCCTTTCAGTACTTTGGAAGGTCAGTTTACACCGCACTCAGAGAACTAAGTCACCTTCAGCAGTTACACTTAGTACAGTCCCCATTTTGCCAAAGCCCTTTTGCCACACGCGGCCCCAAGCGGATCTTCCACACTCGCCGTCCCGATTCAACAAAACCGAAACTCTACCCCCAAGCCCGACACGCAACCTCGAAACCCCAAAACCTGGAGCCTCAAGAATCCAAGGCTGTTAAGCAAGGAGCACAGGGCTCCGTAGAGCCGTAGAGGTCGTCCTGGCTCTGAGTTGAACGTGTCGACCGGTCGCCCATGGACAGCACGCTCTTTCTGCCTCCCAAGGCTTCCCATGTCTAAGGGAATACACGGGCTTTGGCTGAAGGTTCAGGGTTGGGTCTTTGGACGGCCCCGGCCTTATGGCGCAAGGGTCTACTCAAGTTTCTGCAAGAGTCTCGGTGGTTTCTGACTTCAGACGGCGTTTTTTGAAACTGCCTTAAAGGATGACGTGGCTCACCAGCATCCTAAAGCTATCGGATTCTGGCTTCCAGACCCCAGGGGCCCATCCTTAGACGTAAGTTTGTCGGATGTGTCATGCACGATTCTTCGCCCTAGGCTGCATGGGGCTACGACACGGCTCTGTGACCTCTGAGGAGTTCAAGTTCAGGGCATTGGGGCAGAAGTGAGACGGGTGGAGAAGCGGGCAAGACGGAGGGACCAGATTCATGGATAAAACCCGAAATACTCAAACCTCCTCCTCATCCCCTAGAACCGTGGGAACCTTAGAAACCCTCGATCTTGTAAACCCTTCAAAACCTAAGTCGTCAAGGCCTTTAAAGGCCGTAAGCCCTGGCATCCTAAAGCCCGGAATACTTAAAGGATCATGGGACTTAGTAAGTAGGGTTATAACTAACGTAACTAAACTTATAACCCCAATTAAGGGGCTTATAACCTTACTTCCTAAGACCCATGATCCTCTAAACCCTAAACCCTAAACCCTAAAACCCTAAACCCTAAACCCTAAACCCTAAACCCTAAAACCCTAAAGCCCTAAAGCCCGGAATAAGCTCAGGCCGGGGAACGACCGGGGCTCGTCCCATGCGACGAACGTCGATCCGAGCCCCACGAACCTGGATACGAGGGGTGGCCTTTCTCAAGATAGGGTTTAGGGGTTAGGGTTTAGGGTTTAGGGTTTAGGGTTTAGGGTATAGGGCCTCGTTTTGGGGGGGATAATCCGAACGATTGGGCTTTGGTGTAGGGTTTGCCCTACCGGAATGCCATAGCCATAATGGGGCGAGTAAAAAAGCACATAAGCAAAAATTAGGATAGGGATATCCCATATAAATCCCCTTATTCTGAAGCCCAATAAGGTAGAGATATCCCGATAAAATGCTTATGCTTATGTCCTTTTTGGGTTCCTAACATAAGGAGTTCAAACTTTTCGGGTCGGGGTAGCTTTTGTTTCTTGGTCTTGAGGTCTTTTGTTTGGGCTTGCGCGGCCCGGAAGTGAGGCGGCACGGGCTCGAGGTTTCACGCCAAGACTCCGGTCGACTCAGAAAAGGAGCAACAAAATCTTCCCGAGTACGGCAACACAGAAACCATCAAAAACCCAAAGCACTTGGACGTCAAGCTAGTCAAACCAGTCAAACAAGCCTTACAACCCCCCAAAGCCCCAAAACCCTGCACCCTGAAGCCCCAAAGCCCCAAAGCCCTGAGACCCGAAACCCTCCTAGAACACCCAAAACAGACCCAGCACACAGAGCCCACGCAGACAGAAAGTCTGAGTCTGAGGGCCCGGGCTCGCCATGCTAAGGTGGCTGTACCGCTGGGGCTTTCGCACCTGCTCCCTGGAGTGCTTCTTCGCCAGGCCTTGGTCGGAGCTTTGGAACCCTAAACCCTAAACCCTGAACCCTGAACCCTAAACCTCGATTTTCTGAGCCCTTGTTACCCCTTTATAGGGGCTCAGGGGCTCTCTGCGCCCGAGGCCCTAGGACTTTTCGAGACGCTTCGGAGGTTTGGTGCCGCAGGCACTGGGCTCCCTGCCGAAGTCGATCATCTTCAGGGTCCTTGGCTTCGGGTGGCTTTAAGGGTCCTTGGCTTCGGCTGACTTTAGGGGCTTTAGGGGCTTCAGGGGTTCTTAGGGGTTTAGGGGCTTTAGGGGCTTTGGGGGTGCTTTTAGGGGTTTATAGGATGATGAAAGGTTTATAGGGCTTCAGGGCCTGGACAAGGGCACTCATGCTGGGGCGGTGCGTCTACGCCCCGGGAACATCCACTCAGATCACAATGGTCGTAGGACCGCTCCATGACAACTTGGGGGCGATGAGAACAGAACCCGACTGCTCATCGCCGGGGCACTACGGCTCCCTTCTTCACTCCCACTGATTTGATGGCCCTCTTCTGCAGGGCTTCGGGGTTGGTGTCGAAGAATGGCAGTCTCCGCGGGACTGTCACGGGCTTGTCCCCCCTGATACCCTGCACGATCAAGCCTGGACCCCAACAATCTTGAGCACCGTGAACTCTCGGCCTCAACTCTAAATTCTCTTCACGCCTGCAAACAAATACACAGCAGCAAAACGGAACGCGGTTCGCACATATCCCCCCGAAAGCCCCAAAGTGACGGCAAAGCGGCATGTTCGCAAATGCGCTGTGTCCCTCCAGGGGCTCGTCAAAGAGCCAGTTCCTAGGCGGGTCAGGCACTTCAAGCCTTCGGGTGTAAAGTCCGGATTCCTGGCCCTGCTTACAGAGACCCGCAATCTGAAAATCTGCAGCCGCAGAAGGCCTTAACGACTTGTCCATCCCCCGCATGTCGCCGTCTACTTTTCTGGGAGGGCGCCAATCGGAAGCCCCGCGAATCCGCCCATTGCAAGGTTAGGGTTTAGGGTTTAGGGTTTAGGGTGTAGGGCTTCGTAGTTCGCCACATGCAGGGTTGTAAGTTCGAGAATTCTAGGTTTGGAGTGGGCTTCAACTCTGGATCCAGTGAACCCGCGGCCACCCCAAAGCCTGATCCCTGCGCCCAAAACCTCGCAACCCCCAACACCTGAGACAGAGATGACCCGGCCCGACGTGGCGGAATAACAGAAGAAACAGACTCCCCCAAAGACAGTTGGATGCAAGATCCAAAATACAGGGCTACCTTGAACCCCTGCACTGGCCCCACACCCCAAACCCGCGCTGGACTCCCTCCAGCCGTAAGACCCCTTCAAACGGGGTCCGATGCTGACATACTTCTTCGAAGACCGGAGGGTGGATAGTGCGACAGCAATCTCCAGATTCCCGAAGTCCTACACATCCAAAACCCTAGGAGCCAAAACCCTGAAAAACAAAAAATGACGTCAAAGGCGCCTGAACTCAAAATCCCAAAGCCCAAACCGTTCCCGCTCGCTGCGAAAGGCTTCCTAAGCCGCCCGACTCTGGGCAGATGTCGCTGTGTACATAGCCGGCGCCGTGCAAGTGGCAAACTGCCTGGCCGGCCACACCCTAAACCCTAAACCCTAAACCCTAAACCCTAAACCCTAAACCCTAAACCGGAAACGAACTGGAACACATCACGGCCCAGGGTTTGGGAATTACGTTCCGAGTTTAGGCCCATAGCTACCCAGCCTCACTGTAGGCGCTTGAACGTTCATGCAAGCGAGGGGTCAAGAGCCTCAGCCTCATACCTGAGAGTTGCCTAGAACCCGAAAGCTTGAACTAAAGCTGAAACTGAGCTTACAGCCTCTAGACTTCCTGAAGCGGTTTCAACACCTTGTGCTCTCAATTACGGATTATGGCTCAGGGCCGCTGCAAAGACTTCAAGAGATCGTTCGAGCCGAAGCTTCAGGCCTGGAGTCTTCAAGACATTTTCAAATCAGCCCAAACCTGACGACCACATACTAACACAGGGAGCCCGAATTAGCATGAATACGACACCCTAAGCCCTGAACCCTAAACCATAAACCGATGAGACTCTCTCTAACTACCTAAGACCTAAGACTCCCAGCACGAGGAGCCTCAAAGCTCAAGACCCCAAGGTTTGCAAACCGCACAGCCCTGGACCCCTGGACCGTGGTTTAGGGTTTAGGGTTTAGGGTTTAGGGTTCTTTTTTTGCAGCCTCCGATCACTCCGAACCCTTTGTCCTTTCCGATCTCCGACGTCTTGGGCCGTTGCAGGGCCTTTCGCACCTGGGAGGCCTTCTGGCTTTCCTTTTTAGCGAGGCGGGGCTGTCCCCGACTGTGCCTGAAGCATCTGGTGCACCATAACGGCGACGTGGGCTTCGTTGAGGGGCCGATCTCGGCGCAGTCTTCGGTTTGGGGTTTAGGGCGCAAGCCCGCGAACACTGCATCCTCTATTTGCCGAAACCAGGCTTGGGGATTTCGGAGCTAAACACGCTTAAAGCCTATGGAGGGTTTAGGGTTTAGGGTTTAGGGTTTTTGCCTTCGACTACAGTTCAGGGCTTTTGGGGCTCCGGGCATGGCAACTACCTTCAGCCCACAACTGCCAGAAACTCTGCAGTTTTCCTTAAATTATAGTAGGATCCTTAATATGATTTAAGGTATATTCCTCAGTTAATGGATATTGGAGTATCCCAGATTCTTGCCAAGCTCTTGCCCAGGGATCAGCTAGATCTGCTAGAACAGAAAACCCTAAACTCGAAGCCTTCTGTGTTCAGCTGCCTTGGAAAACGTGGTGCCTTCCACTAGCCCCGAACCCCTGAACCCAAAAACCCTAAACCCTAAACCCTAAACCCTAAACCGGTTTAGGGTTTAGGGAACCCCAAAACCCTTGAAAAACCTCGGAAGTTGATAGTCTGCCGATATTCTCGGGGGCTTTCCGGCTCGAAGGCTCGGCGGGTGAACTGTGCTTGGACTTGGCTCTGGCAAGGCTTCGGGTTGAAGGGCAACTGTCAAAACTTCAGCAAAACCGCTGAACCCTGAATCCGTGAGCGCCGAACCGGTAAGCCGCAAAAAACACCGCCAAAAAGTGGGGGTCCAAGGCACTTCGCATGCTCCGGGTGATGCTGTTGAGGTTGCTTCCCCGACAGAGATCCATTACCTGACACTCGGGCGGTCTTGGTTTGGAGTCTGGGGTCTAAGATACCGGATTTAGGATTTGTTGCGGGTTTTTTGGAGTTGAGGGTGTTCTGAAGCTGTTTCCAGGGGCAGTCTGGGGCTTGTTTGGGCTTTGTTGGAAAGACCCTGGAAAAAGGCATGGAAGGCTACCAAGCTCGAGGTGGTAGCCCGGCTGTTCGGATGCCAAGCCTCGGGGCCTCTTCAATCGCTGCTCCTAGTCGCAGTACCAGTGGTGATAGTGGTGGTCGTAGCAGCTCGTAGCAGTAGCAGCAGCAGTAGCAGCAGCAGTCGCCGTCCCGCCATCCGTTGCTACGATAGACTTTGGTGGCCCGAGGTGTCTTCCAAAGGCGACACTAGGAAGACCAGAATCCCGACCCCAACGGGCCCGGACTCAAGAAAAGCCGGACGTCTGTAACTGGGACCCCGGCCAGGTACACGCTGGTCGCGTCCTTTGCCGGTACGCTCGGAACCGTAAATCCGAACCCAGAGCTCTCCGAAGAACCTCCCTCCATGAAAGCCCGACATCTGATTCCAGAGCCTAAGGCTGGGGTAAGGATCGGAAGGCCAAGCAAATATGGTGATAACTAGGGTTCTACAGTGGGAAACAACACGTACCTTACCAGATATTCTGACAGTACTAATACTGATGGTAGCGCGACTGAGGATGACGACAATGTCAATGTCAATGAGAATGACAATGATGACGGATGGTACAAGTACGGCAAAAACGAACACATGAACAATTGCAATTTCAACACGCTGAGCATCACAATAACAGCACTGTGCAAAGTCTACATCTGTATCGAGTTATTGGGACGTCTACAAGGCGAAGCCAAAACCTGCCACCTGCCGAGGACACGAAGCAACGCGACGGATCAGCAACAAGGCTCAAAGGCTCAAACTCAAAAGCCTGATGTCCCAAACTCGACCAACTTTCAGGCTTCGCCCTGCAAAAAGAAGCCAAAATGGCCTAAACCTCGAGCACGACATACTGAAGCCTCAAACCCCATCTCTGCCACGATCAAGCCCTGCACCGCAAAGGCCAAAGCCCAGAAGGACACTTGAAACCGCGAAATGCCCGCCTCGAAAGCGTCCTTCACTCGGCAGATGTGGCGATGCTCCAGCTCCTGCAGCCTCGCCACCTCGGATTCGCGTGGGCTCAACTCAAAGAGGGTCGAACGTTCGGGCCTTGACAGGTAGATAGGGGACTATCAGGGAGACAAGTACCAGTTGTTTCAAACCCCCATTCTAGGGCCATGGGGCTGGGGAGTGGGATTTACGGGTTTTGGGGTTTGGGCTCTGGGTTTAACGTGTTGGGGTCTCGGTGTTTCGGATTTTTGATTCGGGTCTTACTGCCTGGCTTGGCTTAAAGTATGCACTCGAGGTTTGGTGTCTGAGGGTTCGAGTTCTGGGGTGTGGTTTCAAAGCGAACCTCCACCAAAACCAGCGAGCTTCCCCAGCCCCGCGTTACACAAAAATCCACGGGGACAGCAGGAAAACGAGCTTTTTTGGGCCACCCGGGCCAGGGAAGGCTTTCTTATGTCCGAGGGCCTCTTCCGCTTTCGTCCCAGACCTTGCGAAGGCGTCGCCATCCTGCATCTGAGCTCCCGGCATCTTCCCTCCACTCAGTGCCAACAAGGAGCTTCCTGGCCACTTGTGTGGAAGAGTACATGATGGAAGAACCCCAATGCTTCTACGCGTATGTGATCATATCACCGGGCTGGTACTTCTTGGCCATGGACCTTCAGGAAACTCTTTTCGGGCATCGGTTGGGGGAATTGGGGTCTAGCATTCAGCATTCAGGACTCCGTCTTTCGGGTTTTGCATGTTCGGTGCTTCGGAGATGGGCCCGCGACTTCGTGATAGAAGGCTTGTTGTTGTCACTTCTGGAAGTTCAAGTCTCCCGCAGCTAGGGCAACCCAAAAGGGTTTAGGGTTTAGGGTTTACCCTAGACTCCCAAAACTGCGAAAGCCTATAAGCCCTACAAGCATGCTGCGCACCCCGAAAGCTAGCCGGCGTTGCTTGCTAATGCGCTTCAGCGCACACGTCGACCCACTGGGGGTGTGCAGTGTTCGCACCTGCATCTTCACGTCACAAAGGTTTGGGGTTTGCGGGGGCTTTGCAGTTACGACTTTCTAATTTCGACAGGGTTTACGGTGTGGGATGTGGGGTTCAGTGAGGCATTACTGTTCGAGCTTTCTAGATCTTGCTCTGCATGCTCTTGCCAGATGAAGAGTGTATTCAGAATTCAGGACCATCGCCCAACGTAGGGTTGCATGTTTGGCTGTTGGGTTTGGCCTTCTTCAGGGTCGAAGGTTTCGAATTACCGGCAATTGAAACCGCCAAGGCTTTGCCACGAGTTCACGCCACAACGCCCTGCTAAAACAACCCATACCGAAATCTGAAACACTCAAGGCAGGAATGTCACACGCAGGGAATAACTGGCGTTCTAGCAAACTGCGCTTCAGGCCCTGTGGCCCCTCTATGAAAGAGGGCTTCTGGGTCTCTGTTACAAAGCTTCGGGCTCAGGACAAAGTAACATATTCCACAAGATGCCACAAACTGCTCGAATGACCCAAGTCATATGGGTAGTTGTCAAAATTATGGTCCCTTTTGGGGTACCCTAACATAACAGGTTCCGCATTATAACAAGGACCCAAAAAGGGACCATTATTTTGACAACCACCCATATCATGACAGACTATAAGGGATCAGGGCTTGGAGCTTGGAGTTGGGGGGCTCGCGGTGCCAGCTTCATGCTGCCCTGGCACGACGCAGCCCAGTGAGCAAGTGCCCAGGTAGCTGTTCAGGCCCAGCTCATGCCGAAACTCCTGCAGAGAAGACATGTCCGTAAATGTACTATAGTACTTTAGACTGTACTATGTTGTATGTACTGTGTTGGTCCTCATTAGGGCTTAGGGTAAGCCGTAAACCTCGGTGGCCTCGTCGCTGTTCTGCACCCTAAGTTAGATCCTAAACCGAACCAAAGTCGTGGAGTGAAGGATTTAGGAGTTTGACCCTAAACCCTAAACCCTAAACCCTAAACCCTAAACCCTAAACCCTAAACCCTAAACCCTAAACCGTAAAGTGTTGGGGAGGTTGGGGGTTGGGGGCTTTAAGTTTTGATTCTTCAGGCCCGGTCCGCATCGTGGCAACAGCAGCCCTGCAGCTTGAAAATCCCGACATCCTTGAATCCGGCACCATCCTAGGATCCTAAGATATCCCAGGATCCTAAAACCGAAACTTATTGCACCCTAAATCGCCAAGATCCCAGAAGAACCCTGCGCTTTCTCGGTTTTTGCCCCCATGGCCAAGGATTCTACCACATTCCTACCTTCCTACGTCCCAAGACCCCATCAGAGACACACAAAAAGCAGATGAGACCCCAAAGTGCTCTGGAATCTTGCGTGCCTGTTTGAGGGCTGAGGGCTGCGTATCCAGGATTTTCCGGGCAAAACCCACGACCCAAGAAAAAGGAATGCACACACACCTTGGCTCGATGACAAGGTTGGAAACTTGGAGCTCGCCCCCTAGCACCCAACCAAACCCTAGCCCTAAACCCGAGACCCTAAACCCCTAAACCCTCCTGAATGCCTAAACCCTACTCCCACTCCTCTGGCAGGGCCTTGCTGCCGCTTGATCGGTTTCGAAGGCGGGCCCTCCGCCTTTGAGGCTTGGCTTTGAGGGAAGATGGGGAGCTTCGATGGGTGAGATGGGTGAGGCATGGGTTGGGTTTAGGGTTTGGGGTTT